GGATCGGGGGCAAAACTTTCCGCCTGCGGTGGGGTGAGTGGAGAGCCGCCGGGAGTGGCAGTTGGGCGCCCCTCGGAAAGAGAGGAGGCCCCGCTTCGCTTTGAGGGCTCCGGTCGCACCGGGTCGCAGCGGTCGGCAACCCGGTGCCCTTCCGCTGGGCTGGACTCGAAGGGCCGCGCCTGGAGAGAGGGAGGGCTCGGCCCAAGGACGGTGACCTTCCCCGGCCGCCCTTCTCCTCCGCCTTCATTGCTCCCGTCCGCTCCCCTGCTTCTCCTCGCGCCCTGTTTTTCCGTGGACCTCGTCTCCTTTCGCACGACCTTCAGCTCGGGCTCTGCTCCCCCGTCTCCTTCCTTTTTGGGTAGCCCCATTTTATTCTCCTATAAGCCCAAAATCGGGGGAGGGGTCGGCGGAGAACAAATACGGGGTTGCCCCAAATCAGAAGGAATCCAGGAGTACCTTTTTCAACGAACACATTTTATTCAAAGGCAGAAACTGTAGCTCCCTTCATCAGATGCCTCACGCAAGCTTCTGCCTTTGAATAAAATGTGTAGGTCGGAAAAGGTGCCCCCCGACTTCTGATTTTGGGCTGCCGGCTCTCCTACAAATACTGTGTAGGGTTGTCGGCTTCGCTCTCTATTCTGATACTTCGCTGCAGAAAAGGGCTTTATTTTCAGAGCCGCTGGAAAATCAGTCTTGCCTTCCTTCCCTTCTCTCCACGTGACATCCTACGCCACCTTTTCCTCTCTTAAAACGCCACTTTTAAGACGTGCTCTAGGACATCGAGGTGGGTTCACACAACAAGCTAAACCCACCCAGGTTCACGAAGCACCGTTGCTAAACACCACACACGCGATGCCGAAGCAACAGTTTGACCCGAGTGCTTGGGGTGGCTCACTTAATTTAGGAAGGCAATAACTGGCCTTTCCACAGCCGCCAGCTCCCCGTTTCAGCCAGGTCTAGCCTCGTGCGAAAAGCCAGCCACAAAACCCGGAACGATTTTTTAGCCGAGCCTGTCTTGCGACCCCAGCCCGTCCTTAATTTATACTGGAGTGCATCAAGGGAACGCAGCAAACCGGGTTAATCCCAGTTTAGTTCAGCTGGGTTGAATATAAGTCTGGGAACAGGCCCCGCGCTCAGGCACCTTTGCTGGATCCGCGGCTGGGGTTCCGAGGCAGAGCGAGGAAAATCGAATTGGAGCTCGGGGCCTTTTTCGCTTGGTTCGTGGACGCACAATTCTTGCAGAGCGGATTGGGCGCAACGAAGTTTCCTTCCCCCCTTTCCCCTCAGAAAGGGAAAAGCCGCTTTTTCCCTCTTTCAGTTTTGACTGAAACAAATCCTATCCGCCGGGCACAGTCTCGCTCTGCGGAAATGCTAGAGAAGGGCGCCAGTTCCTGATGCTCCAGGAAGGAAGGCCACGCGGCTGGGGGCGGCGCGGGCGGGGGAAGCGATTTTCTGGGCTAGAATCCACTTCTTGCCTCGTCCCGGGAGAGGGACCCGGAGGTCGTCCGGAGCGAGTTAGAGACACGTGAGAAGCAGGAGATTCCAGTCCAGGAAAGCTTATACCAAACTCAAGCTGGTGTTACCCAGCAGGCTAATTGATGGTTTGCTTAAAACCATGGTTTACAAAATGAACCCAGGCGGCTGGTTTCTAAGATTCGCTGGCTGTGTTCCCCCAATATTTGAACCTGATCAGCGACAATGACTAGCATTCCCACCACAAGCTAAGGCGGGTTTTAATTTTGCTTAGGGCTGGTGGTGTGTGTTTGTATGGTTTAGCGTTGCGTGGACCCGCTTGATTCGTTTCTGATCCGATGCAGCGAGCGAACGCCGGGAATGAATTAATTCGGGAAGCGGGTTAAGCGGGCTGTGTGGGTGCAGCCGCTGCGAAACAAACTGGGCGGCCAAAATTTAACCAAGCGCGTTAGGCCAACAGCGTCCAGTGCCACATGGCTGAAGCTGGTTCACCCACGAGGGTAAGCCATGGTTTGTTGAATAGACTCTCTTTGGCTGGATTGACACAGGGCAAACCCAAATCAAAGAGCTGGTTTTACAGCTAAACGGAACTTGCGGGCCCAAGGTCCCGGTTTTCTCGCTGCGGCAGGCGCGAAACACCCACCCAGGAGTCAATTTGGGGAGGGGGATTGGATTCTTTTATTGGGGACAGACGCTGGGGGAATTTGGGGGGCCAAAATTCTTTCCCTGCCGAGGGAGCACGATGTCCCCTGAGGTGCATGAAAGGCGGGGGAGTTCGCGGCAGGTGCGAAGTGGAGAGAAAAATGTGTTTATTATTGGTTATATTATTTCTTCTTCGGAGTATGTCCGCTTGCCTACGTATACACGCACAAATCCCTTGCTTTAGCGGAGACGCTAGAGAATCCGGCTCCAGATTCCAACTCTCCCGGGAACATTTTTAAACCTTCCAGAACCTGACCTGACCAGCTCCCCACACCGTCTCCCGCGGTTTCTAGCCTCTGCTTTGGTACCGGAGGTTTACGGCCCTCCATCCCCAACCCACTGTCGGGTCTCGCGGTAGCCGCGCGGAAAACAATCTTCCACGCCGATCGGCTCAAAGTCATTGATTGCCTCCTGCCCGTTGCAAGAAGAGCCGCACCGAGGCGGGGGGCGGGGGGCAGAAAGAAACAAAGCCCAGGCCGAACCTTTGCGATCCTTTAAGGGGAAACCCCACACCCGCCTGGTTCTGCGCGCTTTTAAGAAGCGTCGAGTCTCCCACGGCGGGGTCCATTCCCGGCTAGAGCGATTCTCGAAGCTCTGCAGGCGAAGGAAAAGGCGACGGGTCCGGCCGTGCGGATGCAGATCCGCCGACTTTGCGCGGTGACAACGCTCTCTCCAGTCTCTACCCTTCCTGTTTAATTTAGTTCTTTTTTTTTCTTTTTTGTTTTTCTTTAAACAATTATTTTTAGGATTTTAAAAATTTCTCCCCAGATTTAGTGAGGCTCCCTTCTCTGGGTTTCGCGGATTTAAGCGCGTCTCTCTCTCTTATTTTCCCGACTTCGTTGGGTCAGAAACCTTTTGAAGCCAGAGCAGTCCCTCGCCTCGCGTCCTTCTCTCGAAAACGCGCTCCCCCGGTCTTTCACCGCGATTTACCCCCCATGCCTGCGCCCCTTGTTAGCTTTCATTCCCGGCTCGCCCTTCTGAACGAGCCCGCTCCCTCCCATTGAAAGCAATCTTCGCTACCCAACACAAGGGCCGGAGCAACGCGTCTTGGCCGGCGTACGCGCCCGGAGCGGAGCATGTTGGTCAGCCCGAAGGCGAGACGCCGATCCTCCGCGCTTCTCCCCAGCGCGGGCCTCCAAGCCGGCTTTTCGCGTGGCCCAGAGCCCTTAAGAGAACCGGCGGCGGAACCATTTCCTAGGGAAAACTAAAATAAATAAAGGGAGCCGGATTTGACATTAAGCATCCCCGAGACCAGGCTCAGCGGTTGGGGCTCAAAATCTCATCGGGACCATCCTAAAGGAGTTTGTTTGTTTGGATCAAAAGAGTCGTCCCAAGCGACAAAAAACAAGCTCAGACAGCCCAATGAGGGCTGGGATTGATGGGAGGTGTAGTCCCCTCCCCTTCGACACTGCCCAGAAAGAAAGCCGGCGGGATCACTCCCCCCCTAAGGTATCCTGGAGTAATTCTGACGAGCTTCAACGACGGAGGGATGCTGGTGTCGAGCCTCTTCCTAACTTGGTGCGCTCCGGGACCTTCCTGGCCCGGAAGATGGGGAGATCGGGCGGGGAGCAAATGAAGTGATTCGCTTCCCCGTTCAACTTTCAACTCGCTTTGGATTCGTCAACCCGTCCCCGCTCTCCTCTGTTTCTACACATATATCTGGGGCACGCGCCCACGCGCCTATCATGATAGAGCACACCTAGGTAACAGAGAAGGTGTTTCTCCTTTATCTATATCGGCCTCTCCCCCTTTTGGCGGGCTTCCTTTGTTGGAAGCGCCGGTTTGGTTTGGCTCGGATCCCAGGGCCGCCCTGCTTGTTCCAGGAAAGAAAACGGGGAGAGAGGGGCAATGCCTTTTTCCTCCCCATTTAAAGGCTTTCTTCCCCCTTCTCATGCCAGGCCGCTGGTGGCCCCGCTCGACCTGGGGCCCGGGAACAAAGGCGAGCTGGAAACCCGGCTTTCCCGGCACTCGCTCGCCCTCGGCTTTCTCCTAAGAGCGGAGCATCCCCTGAGTGCAAGGCGCTGTACGAAGCCGGGCCATTGTTGGTCCGAGAGCTCATCTTCCCTTTACCCACCCTTCACGGAGTCCACGGCGCCAGATCTGGCCCGGGTCGGACGGGAAAGCTTCGCCCTAATCCGTCTGGCTGTGGAAATTCCCGAGAGGAAGAGGAGGGAAAGCGCTTTGCACGCGCTCAGAAATGCTGCCGAAGCTCCAGGCGAGTGGAGAACTCCAGAGCCTTTAAAACGGAACCTCGGCCCGAAGGACTCCCTTGCCCGGAGAAATGACCTTTGTTTGGCCCGTCTCCCCGCGGAAGGAGGCAACAGTCTGGTTTCCAGTGGAAGTTGGAAGTCGAGCGGGACCGGAGGGGGGGGGGGCAGATCCAAAGGAAAACTGGCAGGACGCGGAACAATTGGGAGGAGATGCCGAAGAAGACAAGGGCATATTTACTCGGAAGTAAATCCCACCGACGCAGGAGAGCTTCTCCCTAGGAGCAAGCGTGCATCCCGGTTCCCACACGGTCCCCACAACCTGGACCAGGTTAGGGAAGGACCCAGCAGTCTGCTTTCACACGCCCAGTTCGGGAGAGTGTTACCCTTCTTTAGATTTGGAGGGTCTTAGCAGTCTCGTCCGAGCCCAGCCCGCTTGGTTCCTGTCTGGTCCGACGTCTTGTGGCAAACCTGAACTCGACTTAATTCAGGAAGCAAGTTAAGCGTGTTGTGTGAACGCGGTGGGGTTGACTTCCGTGCAAACAGGCCTAGATTAGTGTCGTGAAAATGAAGAAAGAGGTGGAGAAAGAAAGGGAGTTAAGGCTCTTCGGAACTTACCTAAAGAAGTCGTTTTTACAGTAGAGTTTTCCCTCTCTGGAGAAGCATTTCTCCGTCAAGTTACATTTACATTCACAACACTGGACGCATTTCACGTGCCAAGCCCGGTCTAAGACGTTGAGCAGGAAGCGGTCCAGGATGGGTCTTTTGCAACCGGCGCAGTGAACCATTGTCTTTGGCTAGAGGTCGTGCTCGGGTGGGGGGTTGGAGAAGGGCGACTCCAAAGTTTGCAGAGAGAAAGTCTGTGCCGCGAGGCCCTTTCCAGATTTCAGAGCAGCGGGGCGAAACGGACGCGAGAGTCAACGAGACCCAGATGGGGGCAGGCAAGACAGAGACAGCAGAACCCCCCAGCTCCGTTGGCAGAGCCTGGGAACACACCGGCGGCGGGTCTTGACAAGGTCCGGGCAGGATCGCGGAGCTGAGGTGCCCCTCAGACGCCCCTCTCACTGCATCACGCCAACCTCCTTTTTTCTTGTTAATTGTTCCAAAAAACCAGCGATTTCCCCCTCCCCGGTGTCCAGAGGTTTGGTGCGTCGAGAACCAAAAAAAAGTTATTAATAATATTGTCCTTTACTTTCCTTCTGGGATCTATGAATGTTGCAAGAAAATTTCTCCAGGGCGCCGGCTAATAATAGGAACAACAACGACAGTAACAAGCCGAATTGAGGAGGACGGAAAAATCGGAGGAGCAAAGAACATCAATCAGTTGTAAAAAGAAACAAAGGCGAGGGATTCTCTCAGGTTTGAGGTAGAGCAGTCCGAGGTCAAAGTGCAGTTGAGGACAAAATAAAAAATTTAAAAATCCCGCCTCCTCCTCGCACTGAAAATAATTTAGCAATAAATTAAAAAGGGGCAGCGATGACCGCAGGCGAGCCGACAGGTCGACGAAGCAGAAGCAGGGGAGCGAGCGAATCTTTCACACCTGGGCCGGGCAGGAAGAGTCGAGCCGAGCCGAGCCGGGGGTGGGGGGTCAGAGACGATTGGGGTCTGTCTGCTCTAGAAAGAGTTTCATTTTAGGAATCAAGGGCAACGCGAGGAATCGCCGACTCTCCCCCTTTCTGGTCCTTTCCTTCCTCCTGCGTGGCTTTTGCGAATTTTTTTTTTTTTTTAAATCCCCAAATGATAAAACAGAAAAAAACAAAGTTGTCCTAAAAGACGCGACGCGGTCTTTCCGCCCTCTTCCCTCGTCCAGAGACTTCTATATCGTGCTTCGTGGTTTGCCTCTATTTTAAAAATTCCTGGGCCCGGGGGTGGGGTGGGGGCAGCGAGGGGAAGGACGGCGAGGGAAAAAGCAGCAAAAGAGCCGAAGTGACCTACCCCCTTACGGGTGCCTGGATTCAGGAGTCCCCCACCTCTTCGCCTG